TACTTACTCAAAATCTAGAAACATTCATCGCTACCAATGTGCTAAATGCATGTACATATATATGTATGAAATGTTAGCACAAACTCTTTTACCATGTAAACAGCCAAAGGACCAAAAGCTCAAGACAACCCTGTGGTCTGGGACATGTAGAGCCTCGATCATAATGACTATACATGACCGTCTAGGGCCTCATAATTGCTCTGGACAGTTCTGTGATCTGGGATTGCAATCAGTTCAAGTAAAAAAATTCTTAGGGAACGGTATCTCTATATCTCTATATCTTGTTTAGACCTGTCAATGGGTAGGGTCCTGGTCGGAACGTAGTGTTCCAGACCTGAACCCGCTAAGTTAATAATGGATTCAGACCCGACTCGTTTTTAAGGCGGGTCTCGTAATTGCGTAGACCCGCCAAGTATGATAGGCGCACCATTACAAACTTTGTGAAAATAACCAAAGTGTGCAAACTTAAAAGTAAAATAAATTTTCACTTCTAAAAAAGACAAGGGCCTTGTTTGGCAATCATCTGTTAGTTGCTAGCTATCAACTGCTAGTGATAGCGGTTTGACAATAGCTTGTTGTGTTAGATGTTTTGACCGGCTGATTTGATTAGCTTGTTGTCAGCAGTTTGGTAAAATTAGTTGTTGAATAATATATAGTTGTTTGCGTGTAAAAAGACTATAAGGACAATAATATATATTTATTAATTTTTAGTTATTGTTATAAAACCATTTATACCTATAACCATCCGTGTTTTATAAATTTTTTGAACGAAACTAGCCTCTATTCATATCATAAGTTTCAGGATCATTACATCAATGAAATGAAAAACAAATCTGACACCAACCAGACACCAACAACTACGACCGTAAACCCTATGGTGAGACTCAGAGACAGTCACCCCTGAAAGAGCAACACGAATCGCTAACCATGTAACGGGTTTGCACAGCCATCCCTGTCTCCAAAGATCCAAACATACCCAATGACACCGGACAAAGAGTAAAATCCCAAACAGACTGACACACCTAACAACATTGATAGTAACGAGAAACCAAATGACAAAATAATAAAGTCTCATCAGAGAAGGACAAAACATGAGAAAAACTAAATAAGCAAAGTAAAAGTCTTGAACCCTAGCACCTCGTGCAATTCCTGGCGGTGGTTCAAGAGGAGGTCGGATCTTCGTCGCTTGATTGATTGCATCTCTCGTTGTCGCCCCGGAGTCGGATTCAGAAGCCCCATCATCATCTATTCGTAGATCACCCACCTGCTCTTCCTCTCGGTCACGGCCATCCTTGCGTCTGCCGTCTGAACCGTCCTCCATCGCCTTGCTACCGAGATTGACCAAGCCACACACAAACGATGTCATAGCCGCGTCGATCCCAGCGCCGCACAAATACGATGAAGACTTCGCCGGCGAAATTCCAACCCTTCAGCTCTCGCTAGGGTAAAGCGCACATTATTACTTGTAATACACAATTTAACACTTTAAAGAAAAAAGAGATTGAAAAGTCAAAATAACACAAAGGTGCGTATAGTATAGCTTTTTTAAAAGGAAAAAGTGCGTATAACTTAGGAAGGAGGATCTGCTTATAAATTTTAAAATTGACAAATAGAGCTTCACCACAAATTAAATAAACTAAATCAAATAATTTAATTTGATATGAATGAAACTAATAGACATTGCAAAATAAACATTATTTGACATACTTATAAGTACTCAAGTGTAGTTAAAATAATTCCTTTTATAAGTATCAACAAAAATAAGAAATATTGACGTGTGTGTTTAACTAAAGTCTAAAATAAATATAAAGTTAAATAAAAAAAAATAAAAAAAAAAGATTTCAAATGCTCATTGTCAGAGATGACACAAAAATGGGAGAAAAATACACATATTAAAACCTACCATTCCATAATTAGTCAACGGAACTTCGGAGTTTTCTCTCTAGGGCTTCGACTATGTCGGCCGCTGGAGTCGTTTTCCGATTTCGACTTTATCGAAGATCGGCTTTGTATTCCCTTGGTCGCTGGTGCTCGGTTGGAGCCTAAGTCAGACGCAGATGGCGGAGATCAGTGGAGGAGGGCGGATTTGCTGTAGATCGACGCTGTGGTCAAGGTTCGAGGAAGCGACGTGGTTGTGGTCAAGGGCCGCCTATCCGTTTACTCTGGTCGCACGGAGCAGAGATGAGTTTGGTTATGCAGGGACGGAGGATTGATGCTTGGTCTTTGGCAGCCAAAGGTCATGGAGGAGCAATTAGTATGGTACCGGTGGTACGACCTCCTCCTGAACCACCACCATGGGATGTACGAGGTGCTAGAGTTTGTGAAAGTTTTTCTTGTAGTTTTATTTGTTTGTTATTTATTTTCTTGTGTCCACTTTTGTTGTTGGTTTTGACAGTTTGTTTGAGTTTTTTGCCTCTCTTTATGTCATTGGGTATGGTTGGATCTATGGGAACAAGTTTGGCGCTGTGTCAAGCCCACTACATGGTTAGCGATTCGTATTGCTCTCTCAGGGGTGACCGTCTCAAAGTCTCACCATAGGGTTACAGTCGTAGTTGTTGGAGTTTCAGTTGGTGTCAATTTTATTTCCCCTTTGTTTGATGCATTGATCTTGAATCTTTTAATATGAATAGAGATCTGTTTTGATGATCAAAAAATAAATAATAAAAAAAAAGATGACCTAAAGACTAAGGACTTAAGGAGTAAGGTGAGGATGTGCTTCATACGTAGTACTACGTATTACGTACGAGTAATTCATACAGGAGTACAGAGTATATATTAGGGGGTGTTTGGATCTGATTCTTAAATCTGCTTCTGCTCCTTCACGGAGTAGAAGCAGAAGTTAGAGTGTTTGGGTAAAAGTGAAAAAGTGATTCTGGTGATCTAAATTACTCTCAGAATCAGTTTTTTATAAGCTGGGGGATATCAGCTTCTGGAAACTGATTCTGATTCTGATTCTGCTTTAAAAAACAAGTAGAAGCAGAATCACCTCAAACACCCCCTTAATAGTATTTAGTAGAAAACAATAAAGGGTGAATCAGACAACAAGAAACGCTGCCCCATGTGGAGTTTCCAACCAGCTAAACTTTTGACTTTTTAGAATGAAGAAGTTGATTCAAAAAACTATTTACCAAACATATTATTTAACTAGTCAACCACTCAAACCAGCTAAACTTAGTCAAACCATTCAAAAAATGGCTGATATGTCATTTACCAAACATGGCCAATGTTTATAATAAAAAATAACACTTTTATCCACTGGGGTATCGTTCTTGTATCGACGTATAACTCAACGGTCTGTGACGCTTTCTCTCGCACATAAAGCTCATTAAATAAACCAGAAATTAAGTCACAAAAAAGTCTCTTGGAGTACTAAGAGCATCTTCATTCATAATCTTAAAATAAATGGTTTTTCCTATTACACATCATCGCCACATCACATTTATTCAATACAATTTTAAATAATCTCAAATTTTAAAACTCTTCATCAACCATGATACTCAAATAATTAGTTTTTCTAGAGCATGCATTAAATGCAATTTAACTACAACCTAAAATAATCCGAGATTCAAATCTTGATACCGGATTATTTTTTCAATAATCTCTCTAAAAAATCTCTCATTCACAATGATAATCTTTAAAATAATCTTACACATCATCCAAATAAATCTTAAATAATTTTAGGAATGGGGATGCCCTAATAGTTAAAAAAAATACGTAGTATTATATATGATAATGTTGGGATATATTATCCCGGCCTATTACTGTTCAGGAGCCCAAGACATTACTCAGTACGGAGCCCGAGCAGCTAGGCCCATTTCGGCCCATCCGGCCCACTTTAGCCATTTGGGCCCACTCCGGCCCATTAGGGTGGAGAGCATCCCCTTCCCCTATTCTCTATAAATATGGGAGTTTCCCTCCATGTTATGGATCCCTTCTTAGCTTCTTCTTCCTTATTTCTCTCTAGCTAGCTCAATACTCCATTAATGGGAGCTTGTACATTGTAATAGTGAGGAGAGTCCTAATGAGAAAGAGAGGGCTTGGACATTAGCCTAAAAAGTCCCGTGGTTTTCTCCCTTTCGGGTTTCCACGTAAAAACTGAGCTTGTTCATACACATTTATACATATATTTACCATATTGTGTTGGATTAAACTCAACAGATAATGATATATTGATAATAGTAATAATAATAATAATAAAAACAACAACATTAACAACAACAACAACAACAACAATAATAATAATAATAATAATAATAATAAAATAAATATTGTGCTTTGCCTACCGAGCCCAATGCAAACTTTATCAGTTTATATTTACGGCCAAAATGGGCATTGTTTTATGATATCTTGCTATCTCGATCAGTATCACTTATATATTAAGTATGCATTAATGTGTATATTTTTAATTGAATAATTACAACTAATAACTTCATATATTATTACGTATATACATGTGTGTGTATATTAGTTTGTATTTTTTTGAAGTATTATAACTAATCACTTTATGTATTAGTGTGTACAAGTAAGAAAATTTAACCAGGTTCAGATCATTAATGTGTCAGAATCATACGTATCATACTCGATCCGTTTATTAAAATTACTAACGAATCCGGATCCGTTAAAAATAATGGGATATGTGTCTAGAGTCTACACCCCACCCATTGAGAGGCTTGGCTGGTTACCGAGAGTATGCAAGCACTTTAACATACTCCCTCCGTCCCGTTGGAATGTTCCCTCTTTCCTTTTTTGGATGTCCCAAAAAGAAGTTCCCATTTCCGTAAATGGAAAGTTATCCTACATCAAAACAGTGCAAAACAGTCCTAAACAGTGTCAAACAGTGTCCAAACAGTGTCAAAACAGTAAAATTTACCCCTGGTAAGTTTATTTTCTTAATATGTGTGTAGGTCAAACCAGGAACATTCCAACGGGACGGAGGGAGTATATCCCATTAGGATTTAGGACACGAGCGCAGTTTCTCTAACCAGAATTTAGTTCCGATTTCATTCGTTTCGTACTTTAGTTTCATTTCGTTTGTCAACCATTTCTCCCGGTTTCCTCTCAAATCATTGCGCTCTGCATATCCAATTCGGTACGTATAACGCCAAATGCTTTGAATTCCGGCCGACTCACCGATCGTGATTTCCGATTTTTCGTTTCTCTACCTACTCTTTCCCTCCTACATCGAAGCTTTTATGGAGTTGTTGATGAATATGGCCGATTCTTGCTCGCTCGCGTTGCTCTTTGAGATACGTGGAGTTCTTGGCGCCGTGAAACGAATAGCTCAACAGTCTACGAAGATACCGACAATACCTTTCACGCCGAGAAGTCGTAAATTTAGGGATTTCTGAACTCAGCTTCGGTCTAGGGTTTGTTTTAAATTCATTTTGTGTATTTCTGCTCTTTGTGCACAACAAGTTGGACCGTGAATAGTCGAACTTTCGTGACTGCTTTGTGAGTTTCGCTTTCCATAATAGTTTATGCTACTGTATGTGCGATTCAAGGAGCTTTGGGGAAAAGAATTAATTCGTCTGAAAAGCCTTGCTTTCTTGCCGAGTTGATTTCCTGCAGTTGAAAACTCCTAGCAGTTCTTGTTATTGAAATTTGTTTGTTTCAGTTTGTTGTTGTGAACAATTTCAAGAGTATGATATCACTTTTGGACTTGGGATTTTGATTTATTTTTCTATCAATGGGATTCGTGTGATAGAATAAGATATTCAGAAGCACCTAATTGAAAAGGCTTAGTTCAGCATCTCTTAGATTTACTGTGGTTTGTGAACATCTGATGGCGGGAGGTAAGGAACTAGATCTTCCTAAGAAGAGTGGTGCTTGCAGTTTGAAAGAGAAAGCAGCACAGAAGACCCTGGATAATGTGAGGCAGAAGGGGCACACATATGTTGAACTCAGGAAGGATGGGAAGAGATTTGTGTTTTTCTGCACCTTGTGCCTTTCACCATGCTATAGCGATTTAATTCTATTTGATCACTTGAAAGGTAGTCTCCATGCTGAAAGGCTAGCTGCTGCCAAGGCCACCTTGTTCAAACCAAACCAATGGCCATTTAATGATGGTGTTTTTTTCTTCACTGATCTGGAGCAAGATAAAGCTCCTCCTGTTTCAAATTCTGAGAAAACAAATGTTGTAGGTATAGATTGGAATGATGATGGTGTTGATTCTCTTGCTATTGTCAATTATGTTGAAAACTCAGTGCCTGATACGAGTGAGGATGTTAAGAATTGTACAATTTCTAGAACTGGAGATCAACATCAGATTGTTATTCCAGGTGTGCTTTGTAGAGATGAGATTTCTGAACTTGTAGTCAAACATATCGGCATTGGAAGGATTGCTGCAAGGGTCTGTGGGAAGGATAGGGCGGCTTCTAATGAGATTTGTAGAATATGGTGTGAGTGGCTGGGGAATAAGGATTCTTGTAATGAGGATGACATCATGGTTCCAGTTCATGACTTTGCTATCATCATTTTCCCCTATAATTACAGTTTGGGAAGGCATGGGCTACTTCAGGAACTGAGGTCTTTGCCTCCTCCTAGTTGTCTTTTTGAGCCTGGCGAAACTGGCATTGTTAAAACTAAAAAGAGGAAATCATTTTCTGATCCTGAGGATGTCATCGACTCTCTAAGCAATCAGTATGATTCTTCAGGTGAAGAGTCTCAATCTTCAGATTCGAGTTTAGTGTTATGTGGCCCTAATGATCAATCACTGGATTCCAGAGTATTTTCTAGTAAAACCTTAAGGAAACAATTGAGAAGGCAACTTGAAGTAGCGTCTGTCAGGATGTGCAATATCTGCCAACAAAAAATGCTTCCAGGCAAAGATGTTGCAACACTCTTGAACATGAAAACTGGAAGACTTTTATGCAGCAGTAGAAATAAGACGGGAGTAAGATTTTTTCTCAATTCTGTTTTCCTTTCTTTGAATAATTTTCTGCTGTTTTTTGTTCTCTTAACTTTACCATGTAATACGTGCAGGCATTTCATGTATACCATACTTCTTGCCTTATCCACTGGGTGCTTCTTTGTGAGTTGGAAATGCATGCGAAACAATCAGATGAAGCTAAAACAAAACAAAGGTCACGAAGAAAAACTGAGACCACTCACAATGGTGAAAGAAAGAATGGTGATACACAAAAATATATTTCTTCAATCTTCTGTCCTGAATGCCAGGGTACGGGTGTGAGGATTGCTGAAGAAGACTTGGAGAAACCAACTGTCCCACTGTCTCAGGTTTGCAAGTTGCACTGGAGTATTAATTTTATTGCTTATAGGGTACTTGGGGTCCTGGTATATGCTACTGGAATGAAATAAAATTCTATGGAAAGTTATTTTCTAATGTTTTCATTTGCAGTGGAAAAAAGGGAGAGTAAGAAATATGGAGTATGATTAATGTTATCAAGTTCTTATTTTTGTTTCAGTTTCTTCGTCTGATTGAAATAGATACATAAATCAGTTTGAACAAATTTAGAAAATAAATTTATAGTTTGATCAAATATGTTGTTTTCCCTCGCCCCCTCGCCCATGTTTATAGGGTATTTGGGGTCCTGGTATATGCTAGGGGAATGAAATAAAATTAAATGGAAAGTTATTTTCTAGTGTTTTCATTTGCAGAGGAAAAAAGAGAGTGAGAAGTATGAATAATGTTATGAAGGTCTTGTATTTGTTTCAATTTCTTCTTCTGATAACTCTGAGTGAAATAGATACATAAATCAGTTTGAACAAATTTAGAAAATAAATTTATAGTTTGATCAAATATGTTGTTTTCCCTCGCCCCCTTGCCCACTCGCCCATGTATCCTACCTACAGGAGGAATTGTCGCTATCTTACCACATAGTTCATTTTCCATTTCAGATGTATAAATTCAAAATCAAACTTAGTGACGCCTGTAAGGCATGGATGAAAAGTCCTGAGGAACTGAAAAACTGCTCAACAGGCTTCACATTCCCTCCCTTGTCGGATGATTTGTGTCAGGTTGAGATTTTTTCCTGAGCATTTATTTATGTTATGATTAAAGAACATGTGTTATAATTGCTTCAACTGGGGAATTTCTTGGGTGTTTACGCTTTATGTTTGATTGTCACCAGGAATCTGTAACATCATTGAAGCTGCTTCGCTTTTATAGAGTGGATGATTAAAGCGGTTTGTGATATGTTCCCCAAAAGGGGGTCCTGTGAGATTGCCTGTAATATGCTGTAAATACCAAGCACTTCAGATAAGAAGTACTTCTGCCTAGGAAAAACGTGGACATGAAGCTTATGTACATTTTGGTGTTTCTTGTTGGACCATCAGAACAGTTAGATGCCGGGTTGGATGTCACTAATACATTTTGGTGCTTCTATTTTCTCTGTGCTTTCTTTCGTTTCTATTTGATGATGGATTCCATCGTTTACATAGACACGCCCTGCCCCACTGCCCTTGACTCTATTGCCGCCCCTTTTCTTCATCCCAAGGGATAAATAAGGGAGTGTTTGCGATTGCTTGTGCTTTTCAAAAGTGATTTTTTTAAGAGATTATTGGAAAAGTGATTTAAAGTAAAAGTAGATAGTGTTTGGAAACAGAAGTGATTTTTATGAAAAGGTAAAAGTTGGAGTGTTTGATAAAAAAGTGATTATTGATGGAATATATTATCAAAATACCAAAATGCCCTTATACAAATTAATCGGTGAATCTAAAATGAAGAGGGAGATCAGGAGAACTACTCGACCAACTGCAACTTCTTTCTCCACGGATTTTTTCTCATATGGACCTCCACCCAATTGAAAATATCAATTGAATCATTCAAAGATTAAAAACAAATTGACCAAGAGTTGCTGCTAATTAAGGACGACTGTGTCAAATATGAACTCCGGAGACGTGGACGGCGATGTTGTCACCGAGGTGGACACTTTCAAGGAAGCATGTCGCTGACCTACGATTCTTTTGCTTCTCTGGTGTAAATCGCTTGCATGTTATTAGCATCTCAGGCTACTGCTTGGCTTGCTTCATCGTTCCGTATGCAAAGAGGGAGAATCGGCAATGGCAGAGGTGATGTACGGCAGAGGGGTATATTGGAGTTTAGCTCCTTATGTTAACCATTATAACCATTCTCAAACTTCCATTTATTTACCAAAATACCAAGAAGCAGTTAGAAGCTACCATATACCAACTTCCAGCTTTTGGCTTTAAAGTGATTTTTTAAAGTAGAAGTTGGTGTTAGAAAACACTGATATTAACTTTTTTTAAGCCAAAAGCTGAAAAGTGCTTTTTTTAAGCTTACGCAAACACTGCCTAAATAATGGTACAATTGTGTTGGGAATAGTAAATTAGTAAGTAGCCTGTCCATGAAAGCCATAACTATTGTCGGGCCTTAACCCAAGAGTCAAACATTCTGCATCCTTTGACATAAAGAAAATGTCGCCAGTAAATTTTGCTGAAGATATTTAAAATGTCGCCATGAAAATTTTGCTTCTTTTTTAACATCAGGACCAGAATTAGGCCTGGACTCGGGCCGGGCGGCCCGACCCGGAACCGGCCCGGCCCGGCCACTGTAGCAACCGGCCCGGCCCGGTGGCCCGGTCCACCGGCGGTTTGGGTCGAACCGGCCCGGTGGTTCCCGGTTCCGGGCCCGGGCCTTCCATATGGTGAACCGGCCCGGCCGGTTCGGGCCCGGTACGGGCCGGATTTTAATTTATTTTTTTTTTGAAAAATTTTTTAAGTCTTGGGTTGGAAAAGGTATTTTTGGCCATTTGAGGTGGTTTGAGGTGGTTTGGGTGGTTTGGGGTTGAGGGGGAGGGGTAGGGGATTAAATAGGAGAACAAAAAAAAAATTAAGTGGGCCGGTTTGGCCCGGCCCGGCCCGGTTAGGCCCGGAACCGGAACCGGAACCGGAACCGGCCACCGGCGGTTCGGGCTCGGGCCTCCCCTTTCCTGGCCCGAGGCCCGGCCGGGCCCAGGCCCGAACCGGGCCCGAACCGGCCCGAGTCCAGGCCTAACCAGAATTAGTTTTTCAGAATATGGTCTCCTACATCTAAAAAATTGACTCCAGGTTTAATTTGGAGGAAGTACTTTTGCCCTTTCATAGAAGGGAGTATTATACACAGTATTTTTATGTGTTAAAAGTTTAACAATGAGACATAATATTAGCAGGCGTGGACTTGGGTCGGGCCTAGGCCCGGGCGGGCCGGCGGTTCACATTTGGTGGACCCGGGTAGCCACCGGGTCCGGTCCAGGTCCAGGCCGGGCCTCCGATTTTTTTTTTTTTTTTTTTTTTCCTAACCCCCCCACCCTCCCACCCCCAAACCTCCCAAGCCCAATCCGGGTGGAACCCCAAAAAACGAAAAAAAAAATCAATTTGGCCCGGATTCGGGTGGTCCGACCCGAGTCCACCACTAAATATTAGTTAATTATGCTTCCTCCGTTCATAAATAAATGCAACGGTCAACATTTCACACTTGCCGAGACACAACTTTGACCATTAATATAAATGATTTTGTATTAGTAAAAAAATTAAAAAAAAAATATATTGTGAAAATTTACAATGAGACAAGTTTAACAATGTTTTTTTTCATAAAATAATATTATTATATTAGTAAATAAAACATAGTCAAAGTAGAACATGTGAATAGTGTAAAAGTCAAAGTGTTGAATTTATTTAAGAACGGAGGTAGTATATTTTTGTTAAGGGTTGACAACATACAAGAATGCACCGATATGATCCCAACGGTTGATATCGTTCCTTTATAAATCATGAATGAGCTAATGTTATTTTAACGGTTGTACAAATGGTTCCTAAAATTCAAGATAAACAAGAAATCATATTTTATTTTTGGATGAAAAGTAAGTATATTAAAATCGCCCAAAAATAACATCATACAATGTATAAAAAAGAATCAAAGAAAACTATCTAAACGACTTAGGCTAACCTAAAATAGTGTTTGTCATTCAAAAAGAACGAACCAATCCCACCCTAAAGCTACTTTTGTCTTCATTAAATGATAAATAAAATAATCATATTTTTATTTAAGTTTATCTTGTGTATCTGTAAAGATGTAGAGTCTCCTTGTTCAGATTTTATTTATCGTAAAAACACCAAAAAAATCTCCTATTTAATTTCCAAACTTTGCATATCGAGACTATCCTCGTACCAACCTCTCGAACTAATATCGGTCCAGGATCAGTTGGTCAATTTTGGATCCCTGATAACTAATTGCCCAACTCCGATCTCATTCTGAAATAGGGTCCATGTGTGCTTGTGACGAGTGGAAGTTGAAAGATAGAATCCATAGAAAGTTTTGCAGAGGAGAAAAGAAAATAATAGCTAATCAATGTAGGTAACAACGAGTTAAAAATTCACAACAATTTCTATTTTTATAAGTTCATAAGAATGAGTGAATGTTTAAATGCACCGACGCTATTCTAGACTTTTAAAGGGGCTTCTTCCTTGGATATTACTAAATTAAAGTCAATTTCCCAAAATGTGACCATTTTTACAAAAGGATAAAAATAAGACTAAGAAGGTCACATATTTGGAAAAACATGATGTCATTGTCATTTTTTATGTCACATATTTGGTCTCTGTGTATTTTATAACTATGAAAGTCATGTCAGATCTGATCTACTAAGTCTGTGTATTTTCTAAATGCACAATGTGTACACTTCATCCTTTAAAAAAATACGGAGTATCTGAATGGATCTCTTCAAATCAAGTAGAGAGGACTTTATTAGTACGTATTTCATTATTTAGCCTAATAATGGCTCCCATTTGTTGATAATGGGTCAAATTGGATTTATTTGTATAACAAATTCATCACCATTATTAGCCGGCAGCCACCAACTCTAAGTACCAAACCAGTCTACGAGGAGTACGAGCTGACTGGTGTTAGGATTATTTGTGATTGTGAGAAATGGGACTCAATCTTTTTGTCCATTATGTTTGCAAAAGAAACAACGTAATACGGAATACTCCGTAATAACAATAAAAAATGTTAGTCCAAAGAACAGTGTGCTGATTTTTGACAAAAATATTGGTACGACATATGGATTTGGACAAAAATATTGGTACGCATTTTCTTTGCAAAAAAATATTTGTACGCATTTTTTTTATACACATTCTTACATAGTTACATCCATTGGTGAGAGACTTTTATTATAGAGGGAGTATGTGAATAGCATGTTCACACACCAAACATGTATATATAAAAAAACGTGTACAAGACAGTTAACTTTGGAGTACATACATATAAATACTCAAAATTTTGACTTCACACATATTAAGAAAATAAATTTGCCTTTACTGTGGAGTGCACTGTTTTGCACTGTTTAAACACTGTTTGACACTGTTTGGACACTGCTTGACACTGTTTTGATGTAGATTATTTGCCAAATAATGAAAGTATTGAAGTGTGAACTTAATTTAGGGACTGCCCAAAAAGGAAAGTGAGAACTTAATTGGGGGACGGAGGGAGTATCAAATTACCAATTTACCCTCTATCTGTAACCAGTGTTGCACGTGTAAGATAGGTATCCACCATTCCATCTAAACAACATAGAAGATATAAGCAACCGGAACCTGTGAGCTTAAGTTAATAAGCTTAACAAAGTACGAATTTTAATTTCTCTGTGTTTGGGTAATTCCCATAGACAAAAATTGCAATCTCTCTGTTTGTAATTCATAGTTGCTCTCCATCTGTAAGTACTCTCCCTTTCTAAATCTAATCCTTAAGCAAGTCAATTTTTCCTTTGAGAAAATCTTAAGCCACTTCATTTTAATTTCAAAATCAAAACACAGGGTATCTGATGCATCGTGGTCTTCAATGGCATAGCTAAAAAACGATTTTAATTTCACAATTGAAAAGTAAGATAACAACGTATGTATATATAGCGATTTTACCAAAAATTTGAAAGTAGATTATTTAGGAAGAGAACAATCAGATCAAGAATGAAGAGAAGATCTGCAATTTAAAATAAAAATAAAAATATAAAACAGATATAAATTCAGATGGAATACGAAGATGGAAAAGGTAGAGGATGAAATTCTTATTTGCTGCTTTTGTGATGGCTCGATGGAACTTCCTGCTATTTCCAAGGAGCTATTCTTAATGATATGGAAAATATTTCTAGAGATCATTGTTCAAGAGATTAAATTATTTCGGAAGATTATTTAGAAGAAAAAATATGATTTCAAATATTAAATCCTTGATTATTCGTTGCCAACCTTCAATAAGCACATTTAATAAGGATGCTCCAAAATAATACTCCCTCCGTTCTTTAATATTAGTCCTCTTAGGCTTTGGCACGAGTTTTAAGAAGAAAATAATAGGGGTAGTGTAAAAGGTGTAATGAGTAGTGGGTAAATGAAAAAGTAGGAAAGAGAAAGGGGTAATGATAATAAAAGTTGGGGTATAAAGGTATATTTAGATCAAAAACTTTTCCTTATATGGAAAGGAGGACAGATAAAAAAACGTCCCAAAAAGGAAAGAAGGACTAATAAAAAAGAACGAAAGGAGTATAACAAGCTACTACATCCGTTCCCTTAAAATTGAAATAGGAAGAATCGAAGAAGTGATGGAGTTAATAAAATAGTGGAATTATGTGATTAATATTGAATAGATTAATTATGAATAATGTAAGAATAAATTGCAACCACCTAAATATTACTCCCTCCATCACACTAAGATCTTCCTGCTTTCCTTTTTTAGTCGTCCCAAAATGATCTTCTCATTTCCCTAAATGGAAAGTTATCCTACATCAAAACAGTGTCAAACAGTCAAAAAAATGTCAAACAATACCAAACAGTGCCAAACAATGCCGAAACAGTGTATTCTACCGTAAAGTCACATTTATTTTCTAAATATATGTGTAGGTCAAAGTAGGAAGTTCTTAGCGGGACGGAGATAGTATTAAATATGGTATGAGAGAAACTTAGTAGATAGGGTAGACGAAAAAGATATAATGAAGCAAAGATAAGGGATAGAGGGAATATGTAGCAACTTGAAGACTTCTATCTATACTCACCCCTTACATCCACTCTTATATTCATCGATGTGAGAAAATTATTTTTTTTATTGGTGAAATCTTATATCCATCCTTATACTCACTCCTACCTCCACTACCACGCACTGTGAAAGCTTTTTTTGAAAAAAAAAAAGCTTTTTTGAAAAAAAGCTTTTTTTGTGAAAGCTGTTTTTGAATGGAGCACATAGACCAAAAAATCTCTACAGTTCGGCAAATGAACTAAAAAATCTCTACAGTTCGGCAAATTAACCGATTGTTGATAAGAGTTGTATAAGTTTGGTGAGGTGGAGCTGTCGAATTGACTTCACTTTCTCCACTAAAAGCTGTCTAAATTTTTTTTTGGATGAAATGTAAATATATTAACACCCAGAAAAACTATACATCGCATATCCTAGATCTGCTAAAACCTCCCCCACCCCCACATAATGCGGGGTGAAAGAAGGTTTTTATTCGATCTATTCTATGCCAAAAAAAAACCGGTATAATACCCGGCCCATCAAGAAGTTCAAAAATACATCAGAGCAGCATTTATTCGCACACAGATCAGAGGCTATAAAATCAAAACACAAAGTACAAAGGTGTTGCAAAGTGCACACACCCTAATCCAAAACCATGCTCCATGACGCAGCATCCAAGATGTCCATACCGCAGTGTCTCATGTCGTCATGCCGCGGCATCCAACAAACCATACCTCGGCTTCACAAAAGTCATGTAGCAATCTACCTAATCCGCGGCATCCATAATATCCATGTCTCGGCCTTCTACTCAAAATGTAATCAAGTCATGCGGGTATAAATTGAAAAGTATTTTATACACCACATGCTTAATTTTTGCGACGACGTCTTCTTCCCTTATGTTTGTCTCATCAAAACGATTTGAATTCCTAGCGTGCCATAGGTAGTAGACTGTGGCGCTAAATGCTATCCGGACCGCTTTCCCCTTGATTTTTGATCCTTTGTGATCTTTTAATATCCATTTGACCGAGCTAAATAGCGTGGTCATTTCTCGTGTCATATCCAACCATCCCTTTACTCTTTCCCAAACCCTACAAGCGTAAGAACAACGAAAAAACAGGTGTGGTATTGTTTCCAAACCACCCTTGCACAGGTCACAACGATTAACAATATGTAAGTAACCAAGGCTATCCTGTGTAGGTAGCCGGTTCCTCATAGCAAGCCAAACGTTGAATGAGAACTTCGGAGGGATATAAGACTTCCAAATGAAGCTCATCCACACTCTCGGCATTCCCTTAATTCTCAACAACTCATAGATCTTTCCGGAACAGAGTTTACCATTTAAGGATCTACTATTTAGGCCCATAATGGTATCATTCAAATTGTTAAAACATCGCAAAATGTGGTCCCGGATATGACTCAATTTCTTCATGAACATTGAATCACGATTGTGTGGGATAAAATCCCACACACTCCTACCTTTGAGGTAGACTCCATTGACCCACCTTACCCAAAGGGTGTCTTTCTTCCTATGGACATCCCAAAGTGTTCGAGAGAGGAGAGCATGATTCCAAATCTTGGCATTATGAATGCCAAGGCCCCCCTCCTCTTTTGGTAGACAAATGTCATCCCAAGCCACTTTAGAATATTTCCCACCCATAGAAAAATTCGGCAAATAGACACGATCCTATCAAGGATTGTTTGGGGGGCCGGGAAAACTTGTAGCCAAAAAGATTGGACCCCTTGGATCACAGATCTTATCAACTCGAGTTTTCCGGCATAGGATAGTGTTTTCGTGTTCCAAGCTTTTAAAAAATTCGAGATTGTGTCAAGCAACGGTGAGTATTGCGCCACAGAAACCTTAAGAGGGGCAAGTGGGATTCCGAGGTATTTAACCGGGAATGTGCCACGTCCAAAGTCCACAAGGGCCATGATCTCCTGGAGATCATTTTCATTAACTCCCCCCTACAAAAATGTTTGATTTATCATGATTCACCTTAAGGCCCGAAGCATCCCCAAACTCTTCAAGGGCCTTGACAAGTATTTCAATTGAATATGTGTCACCCCGAGAGAAGAGTATTAAGTCATCTGCATAGGCCAAGTGAGTCAATCCAAGTTTTGCACATTGTGGGTGAAAATTAAAATTTGACACTTTGGTTTTCAAATTAATTAATCGGGAAAAATATTCTAAGCAAATGACAAATAACAACGGAGACATCGGATCTCCTTGTCGGATGCCTCTCTTGCCCTCAAAATGACCATACAAACATCCATTCAAAGATATGGAAAATGAAGCCGTGGTTACACACTCCATAATCCACCCAATAAATCTAGCGGGGAAGCCCAAACCCCTTAAGACCTCATTAAGAAATTCCCAAGAGATCGTGTCATATGCCTTACGCAAATCTACCTTGATCATGCATCTAGGTGAGAAACGCTTCCTCGTGTATCCTCTAACAAGTTCTTGGGCAAGAAAAATGTTATCAAACATGAGGCGGCCATCAACAAAAGCACCTTGGGCTAAATCAATCAAGCCGGGAAGGCATTGAGATATTCTAGCCGCAAGGATTTTTGTAATAATTTTATACATCACATTCGTACAAGATATAGGTCTATAGTCCGACACCTTCGGTGAGTGATTCGTTTTTGGGATAAGCGCAATAACCGTATGATTTATTTGCTTAAGGAGCTTTCCTGAACGAAAAAACTCTTTGATGGCCCGAACTATATCATCCCCAATAAAGTTCCAATTTGCCTTAAAAAATGCAGATGAGTATCCATCCGGTCCTGGTGCCTTGTCATTGCCGATGGCAAATAGAGCATTCTTAATCTCTATCGTGTCAATCGGAGCAAGTAGGCTATCATGAGCACTTGGCTCAATCATAGGACCGGTTCCCAAGACCGCATGGTCTAAGGGTTGGCACTCGGAATAGGTACCAAACAAATCAACAAAAAAATTTACAAATTCATTTCCAACTTGTTCTAGAGAGGTAGTGAGGCTACCATCCTCGAGCGTGATAGAAGAAATGGTATTCTTCGTAGTCTTCTTCCTCATAATCGCATGGAAGTACTTTGTCCCTTTGTCCGCTTCAAGAATGTGGATTGCCTTCGCCTTTTGTTGGTAGAAACTAGTTTCAGCCTCAGTAAGGAACTTTGCTCTTTTCCTAGCTTCCATCAACTGGCTCCGGTTATCCTCGTCCAACGGATTCTGGAGAGCAAGTTTGTGTAATCTCTTATAATCTTCTTTAGCTCTCTTCACCTTATTTGAAATGTGGCCAAACTCTTTGGTATTTAGTTCTTTAAGTGGCCTTTTGAGCAACTTAAGATTCCTTACCATCGAGTATTGTGCCGTGCCATCAATGTCATGTCTCCAACTCTGCGCTACTAAATTAGCAAACTCGGGATGTTTAATCCACATGTTAAAGAACTTGAAAGGTTTAGGCCTTAAAGAGGAATTATTAAGTATTGATATTACGGAGGCCGTATGATCAAACTCAACCTCCATTTCATGGAAATGGGTCGTAATATTTAAGCCATTTTGACTCCAAATATCATTCACCAACACACGGTCAAGCTTTGCCCAAAGTGCACCTCTATTCCACGTGTAGAATTCACCCGTAGAAGGTGCATCCTCTAGGCTAGCTTGAACTTTAAAATCAAACAAGTGTTTCATCATATATGCCGTAGGTGGGGTACTCCCCACCCTTTCATTTGGAGCAGACACGCAATTAAAGTCCCCAGCTATAACCCAAGGTTCGGTAAAACCATCCCCTAGGATAGCAAGTTCTTCCCATAATGCCTTACGCTCCAAAGCGGTATATAACGGATACACCAAGGTAGCTAAAAAACTGATTTGGGAGATACGACACACACATTTAAGGTGCATGTATTGTGTCTCCACCGCATTAAAAACACAATTTAAAACATTCGGGTTCCACATCAACGCCATACGGCCACCATTTATTTTATTAAAATTAGTTTCACACACCCACCCCGGCCATTTATTTAAAACATAGTTATTAAAATTAGCCGTGGTCATTTTTGTTTCAAGAAAACAACACAAACTCACATTATTTGCAACAATATAACTAGCAATTAAATTATGTTTTGAGGTTTTATTCAAACCTCGGACATTCCAAACAAGAATTTTAACCATTTAAAATAAAAAGGCGTGAAGAAGGTACCCCAAAAAGACTCAAACCAGTGGGCTGTCAAGATAAATAGAAGTCTGGGGTAAACGCCATGTCATCCGGGTCTATCCCTTTTTTGTCCTTTTGTTCTTTTCTAGCTCTTCTCCTCATCTCTTTCAAGTACTTCTTGTTTCTGTCCAGGTTAGGATCAAAGAATGATAAAACACGCTTAATAAAAGTAGGTTTATCGAATTCATACCATTCACCATCCTTCTTGACCTCCGGGCAGCTAAGTAAAAACTCTTCAGTGAAGTTAATTCCAGTATCATCACCATTTAGTTCTTCCAACTTAGGTCCCAACTTGACAATATTGACACCTTTCGGTACTTGGTCAGTCTCCCATGGATGTATATGCCTCTTTCTTACTCGTTATTAGGTGACAAGATAAGGATGAGATTTAATACGGTGCAATATTCTTTTGTTTTCTTTATTGTAGTTATAGATAAAGCTGTTTTACGTAAGTAACGTAACCACCTCATGACGATGTACATGTCCTATAATCCTATCCGTTCGGTGATAAGACTTCGCTATGTAGGAATATATTTATAAAGTGAAATTATTTGAGATTAAATATGATTTACTCTTTAACCAAGTTCGTAATTACTAGGAGGGCATTGACGTATTGATAGGCCTAATGATTGAGAAAACCCGAACTTATCAAGCAAAATTATTGTTTCTAAAAGGAATTAAATGATACGTAGTAGAAGAGTACAATCAAATAAAATCAACCTATCATGCGTGTATACTCACCTTTTAGAAAAGCTTACAAAGAGCAACATTTACAATTTCACATGTTGGATAGTGCGATGTTCAAAATAATGTTGGAGTTAGTTTTGCAGGTGAATTGTTAGAAATTTCTCTCACGATCATTATTACTATTTTTCATATAAATTTTTATATTTTACTTATTAAAAATATTTTACATTTTTTCATAATTCAGTACACTTAGTAAATTTAGTTTTTCAGCTAAAATTTCATTTTTATATAGATTCACACGAGTCAACCTATTTGAGTATAATAAAAAAAGTTCATTACTACCTCCGTCCCGCAAAGAAGTTCTCACTTTCCTTTTATGGATGTCCCAAAAAGAAGTTCTCATTTCTATAAAAGGAAACCACTTTTAACCAAAAAGTCACAACTACCCTTACTTTTTATCCACTTTTTGCTTGATTTGACATAAAATAAGGGTATGCTTGGAAAGTCAAAACAAAACTTTACCTTACATAAATATGTGTGTAGGTCAAACTAGAAACTTCTTTGCGGGACGGAGGAAGCATATAGAATAGAAATGGTAAATATTATTGAAAATTACTCTGCAAACTTGCTTGACATATGAAAAACATTGCATCAGAATGTGGGACAGAGAATGGATATACTCCCTCCGTCCCACAGAGAGGTTCCCAATTCGGTTTACGATGCTTGATTGACGATAAAATAACTTGATTCATGTTCACACTCTGATTATTTTTTAGTAAATAAAATTACATATTCAGAAGCTACATTAAAATCGCACCAAAACCTAAAAAAATGTAAATTTGATAAAAATTTGATATATAAAGCAAAAGATTAAGAATGATTTAAGTTGACCATGTGAATAGTGGTTTGGAACCTTTGAATTGAACGGAGGTAGTACCAATTAAGTTAGCCCCCAACTTTATTTTTGTTATATGTACCGTATTTAATTTTTAATTTGTCGTGAAGGATCCGAAATACTACGTATTACCTAAATAAAAGTTTGTGAATAAAAATATGATTACATTTGCTATGAGGATCTATTTACTACATTTATTGTTTTTTTTTTATCGTCAAAACAGATGACTTAAATTGATATCACAACATTCAGATAGGAGTGAAACGACAAAAAGACCACAGACAACCGTTAGCCCTCGAACCAGACTTAGCATTAATTGTTAGGATTTAATTAACGCAACATGAAGAACAATAAGAAAGAACACACAAAATTTGGTAACTCGATCAGTTCGCCACAAAGGAGTACGTATGGGGGCGCTACTAAGCCAGTAATGTTATTAATATTTTGGATCAAGTGATTACAAGGGAGAGAGCTTGTATTTATAGAGAGTAAAACTTAACCTCTAGAATAACTAGGACGCGCGCGGGCCCACATCTGTACGACCCAAACTATACGGAACTGTGCGAAAATGTACGGAAACTCGCGGCTCCTCTTTGAGTTGGATCGACAGATAGAGCTTGGTTATACAGTCTCTAACACCTTACCATCTCCCACCTTGAGGCTGTCTTCTTCATAGCCTGGTAGCGCCGACCTTCATCATCAAGTACTAAGGCCAATTGAACATATGCAAAGCTTCAATTTCTTCATGGTCACCACCTTAGTAAACATATCTGTTGGATTCTCACTCCCACGGATCTTCACAAGCTGCATTGCCTCTATCTCCAGAAGATGACAGATGTAGTGATACTTCAACCGAATGTGTTTGTTTCTCTTGTGAAAAGCAGAGTTGTTTGCCAAGAAGATAACACTTTACTGTCACTGTAAAGTATGTTATTCTTGTACTCCTTCCCAAGTTCCCCAAGTAGATTCTGCAGCCACACCATCTCCTTGCTTGCCTCGGTAATGGACACATATTCAGCTTCAGTGGTAGATAATGCAACAATCTTCTGCAGCTGTGAAAGCCAGGAAACTGTTGTCCCATCAAATGTGAAAACATACCCGGTGGTGCTCCTCGATCCATCTGAGTCAATTGATGTCAGGTCTGCATCAACATGTCCCAACAGCTCTACACTCTTTCCATCAAAACACAAGCCATTAGAAACAATACCTTTCAAATACCTCAAGATCCACTTCACAGCTTCCCATGAATCTCCCATGAATCTGCTCACTACTCCCACCGCATGTGCAATGTCTGGCCTCGTGCACACCATAACGTACATGATGCTGCCAATTGCCGAGGCGTATGGGACATTCTGCATTTGAGCACGCTCCTCTTTGTTCTTCGGTGAATCCTCCTTGCTAAGCTTGAAGTGACTACCCAGTGGTACACTTGTTGCCTTTATATCTTGCATTCTTAATCTTTCGAAGACCTTCTGAATGTATTTTGCCTGTGAGAGAAACAATCTGCATGTTGCCTCATCCCTCTCGATTCGCATGCCCAAAATCTGCTTTGCCTCTCTAAGATCTTTCATGGAAAAATGTTCTGACAACTGCCTCTTTAGCTTCTCAATCTCCTTTGAACTGGCTCCTGCAATTAACATATCATCAACATTGTTGGGTTAAGGGCCCAAGCCGAGGTCCGGCCCACTAACCCATTCTGCCAGACGAACGTCCAGTTAGAGCACTAGGCCAGCCCACAGGCCCATATTCCTTGAGGATGGACGAACGTCTGGTGTTGGGGGGCTCAGGCCCAGCAGCTCATCCCGACGAACGTCTATGCATGGGCAAGGAGCAGAACCACGGGCCACCAGGGATGGCGACGAACGTCCCCAGAGCAAGCCTGTAGTCATCGGAGGAAACCCAGTTCACATGGTGAGTATCTATCAAGGCCAGGAGACGAACAGCCGGTATCATCTGAGGGTCACTTGGAGCAATCCAACTCACTTCCCGGGTGGACGAACGTCCCCACTGATCCGGCGGGAAACCTAGATTCTGGCGGGAAGTGCATTTAATGCTAAAGATTTGGTAGTTGGGACACCAGCGGTCCACAGGCTGCCACGTCAGTACAGCTACCTGCCCATTGGCGGGTATAAATAGAAGCATTTATTTCATTGTAAAGGGTTGGCAACTTTCTATTCTTAGTATACTAGCTTCAGCATTCGTACTTGCAGCATTTCTAAGTGCCTTGTAAGACGAACGGCCGACGTGCCTCTTTAGCAAGTAGATTGTACTTAGGGGAGTTATTACGGAGTTAATAATACCTATTTACATTGCCTGCTATTTCTCTTGTTTCCTGATCCATCTGAAAGTTGTTGGGCTAGATATCCACACACTCACTCCACTCGAAATCTTTGGGCTTACGTGTTGGGTCCAAGGGTTGAAGGAATAAACCTCAACACTGGCGCCGTCTGTGGGAAACTGAGCAAAAAGTTTCCAGAAACTCTCCCAAACAGCTACTAAGTCTACCTACAGCAAACACGATGTCAGGAAGCAACAACCAGCGTGACCTCTCCGAGCGTCTGGAATCAAGCCGCCGGAATCGCGGCCAGAACTCGGAACTATCCGCAACAATATGGACCTCCGGGGGAAACGGGGGTATCACTGACCTCATTCCTCTGGAGGCCAGGCAGGATCCTCGCCTCATGCGGGAACTCGCAGACACCATGCGTCGCTTGGCAGACGAGAGGGAGGCCCAAAACCAGGTGTACTCTGCAAGTACCCAGCGAACGCCCCTCTCTCCCATACGTCGCATGCAGTCGTATGACGATACGACAGGATCCAGCGACCACCGGCCCTCAGTCCATGAGCGGCTAGGTGGGGGTTCAGGCTCCCGTGGAACGGGAGGGCGAACCAGAGTCAGCATCGCTGCATCCAGGGCTCACACACCATCAGTCCCCCGCCAAATCCCGCGGGGAGACGAGACCCCGAGGATCAACACCGTTGGACGACGTTTCCAACGGCGAGGTGCGCAGATCTTTAGGCGGCCGCACGGTGCTGTGGCCGCTCAGCAGAATGCCGTCCCCGAAGCCGCGCCCCCTGTGTCCCCCGGAAGGGCCGCACAGGATGCAAGGTTGGAGGCCATGGAAAGGCAGATAGCCGAGATGAATAGGCGGGCGGACGTTGACTCGGCTACACCCTCTTTCTCTCTCACATCTCCCTTTACTCCACGGGTGATGAGCGTCGAGATTCCCCGGGACTGCAGGCCCCCGGGCAACTTGGTGTACAATGGGGCTGGCGATCCCAAGGCCCATCTGATAAGCTACCAAGGGAACCTGTCCATGCTGGGAGCATCAGACGAGGCCATCTGCAGATTGTTCTTCAGCACCCTCAGGGGGCCGGCGCAAGAATGGTTCGGCCAGTTGAGGCCAGGCACCATCGACTCATATGAACAGCTCTCCCAGCAGTTCATGGCGCAGTTTGCTGCCAGTACCACCCCCAGGAAGGACGTCACGGCTCTCGCCCACATCAAACAAGGGCGGGACGAACCGCTGGCTAGGTTCCTGGTAAGGTGGAGGGACGAGGTCCTACAGGTCGACGATCTGGACGAACGTCTGGCCACCAACATGTTCACTAGTGCGCTGGCCACAGGGGATCTATACCGGGACCTAAGGAGGAATCCCGGCACCAGCTACACCGAGGTTCTGGCTCGGGCCCAGAAGTATGCCTCCATTGAGGAAGAGATCAGGCAGCGGG